CAGGAAAATGGAGTTGGCAGGACGCGAGGGACTTGGATCGCTCACGTCAGTCTTTAGAAGGCATGTCTCATGGCACCCTCTGACAGTTTCCAAGGACAGCCCAACGCCAACGCAGCAAGTTGACTAAGGCTTTCTTGGTGCTTTCATCTCCAAAAGGAAGTCCCAAAACAATGTTTAATGCACTCACGACAATTCACCGGCCCACCGAAGAATCTCAGGACCATCATCGGAGCTACCCCTGAATTGGCTGTTGGGTCGGGCGCATGTAGCGCCAAAGAAATTCCACAGCTATCCATGGATTTTAAGGGCAGCCAAACGGAATCCAACTTTGGGCCTGTATTTGTTCTGTGTGTTTTTTTGACGGGGGAGGGTCAGGGGGGTCATCACGTTTGACAGGGTACAGCGGGGTGAACTAGCGGTAAGCACTTCGCTAACTAGACCATCTAAACCTGACAATCACTGATCCTCTTAAAGGCTCAATGTGCATATTCCCGCACGGAATTAACAAACAATGAAAAATGAATCCCCCGAAAAGCATCGGAGTTGAGCCCCATCGAATCGATGTGGCTTGTAAACTTGTCTACCTCCTTGTAGAATGTGAAGGGGTTGTTGCGAAAAGGGAAGCCTTGACTCAAACCAAATTTGTGTTTCATCAAGCTTCTTGTCTTGCTGAACCGGGGGCTTTGAGGGGCCGGCTCCGTCTGCGCATCCTTCAACTGGCTCATCAGCAGCTGTCTGGCAGTCAGGGCGAAGGGCCGTAGAGGCTTAGGCCATAGCCGTAAACACGTTGGCGCCAAGCCCGAGGTTCGCCCACAACATGTTGAAGCCTCAGGGTCCTGGCCAACATGCTTAAGCTACTATCCCAGACAGCCCAAGTACCCTTGCAGGATGACTTGGGAGGTTCCAAGGGTTGAAGCACCTGCTCAGAGGGTGCTTGGATCCTTAGAATATGGTTTGAACAGCCTTTTCTTGGGGTAACTGTTTGGGAAACCCAAAGGCGATCGATTGGTACATCAAGGAAGAGCAACCCCTGCACAAGTCCTCGTTCAGTGGTCGTAACCACAGCTACAAAGCATTCACCGAACAGAGCGAATAGATCATCTTCTCGAGCACCTAGGAGTTTGTTCTTCCAGCCAACCTGGTATGTCGGCAAAGAAACATATCCTCATTCCGACCAAGGGTTGTCATAAACTTTGCTTGACTAACGCGGGTGTCCCATGTAGGGGATCCTTCACCTTTGGGGGCAACAGATCGGTGTAAGCGTCGCAACGGACTCCGAACATGCGGAGGGAGCCCCAATCTCTGAACAGGACTCCTTTGGATGGGAGTAGAGGGCATCTGCTTTGGAAGAGGTGATGTAGCCAAAGGGAGCCAGATGAATCTAAACCAACCCTAAACCCCAAACCCTAAACCCTAAACCCTAAACCACACCATAACCATTTGACTCTATCTTGGTTGGAAATAGAGAGCCCCTGCAGAACCAAAGAAGAACATACCAAAAACTATCGATTACGCACACTCCAAGAACCGTCGTCACGGTGGGACCTTCCAGGTGCGCAAGCCACTTCCCCACGATTCATAGAGGTGGAGGGTGCCTGAACATTCCATCGAACCCAAAACGGGTAGGCCCGAGCCAAGGCGCCATCTTCCTCCTGCAGTTTCGGCTCGCCCACTGGGCCTTGATTGGACTGGGGAATATGTGACGAGGCCCCAAGCCCTGAGGGCCTCATGAGTTTGGGGTTGGCCTGGGGAAAACAACGAAGCCCTTTAACTGGCCGGCTCTCGGCAGAGATTGACTCTGTGACCCCGAACTGAAGCATCGCTTCTAGTTTCCCGCAAGACGATCCACAGAATCATTCCCAAGGCTCTTGTTGATTCCCTGAGAAGCAGCGAGCCAAAGAGCGCCAACAAAAGTTCCCCTCATCGGAGCAGAGCCAAACAAACTCTCAACAAGACCAGTCCGCCCCTTCGAACCCCTTTCCGTCGAACGTGGCGGGGGCCGCATCGTCTCACCTGCCGCCGCCGCACCTGCAAGGGCCGAAGACGCACGCACCCGTACGGGGGATTCGCTGGGTTTTGGGCTGCCTTTTGGAGCCAAAGCACCCAAGAAAGGAGTGAACGGGGGAAGAAAAAAAAAAAACGTTTGGCATTCCGACACTTCTGGACCTGGTGGATAGGGGAAGCCACACCCAATCCTCGCAACTACCACAGGGATCCAAACCCAATCCTGGCTCTTGGCCTGGCTTTGGTCCTTCCGGCTTGCCCAAACCCCCAGCCGTGCAGCCAAATCAGCCCCCCCTCCGCCCCAAGGAAACAAAGATTTGGGTGAGCGCATTTTCCCGAGGGCACCCTGAAAATGTATATGCGGGTGTGTTCTTGAGAAAACCAAAGAGAAAAACACCATGTTTTGTCGTTTTTTGTTTGTTTGTTTTGTTATTTGGGGGGATTTGCCACTCATGACTCATGACCATCTCCCCAGTAATAAACAACATGGAAACCTTTGGGCCGTCTCTGAGGAAACCGCCGAAATAGGCGCCCACCAACCATTTCGAGGTGGCCTTCGATAAATAGAAAGCAGGTAAACCAACCACGAGGCATTGCAAACTGATGGTTTTTTACTTGTCCCCTCTTCAAAACAATCTGGAGCTGTCACCTTCAGAGAAATACCCTGTTTGGTGCGAGTAGCCATGGGTAAACAACACACCACTCAAAGCAAGCTCGCTGTAAAATAGCCCAAACGGTGGTGCTTAAACCCAGAAATTCAGATTTCTTGGGGCCCAAACGTTCGTTTCATGACAGGGCGGTTGGTGCTGCGTTGCGGCGCGAGATTTTTCCGCACCTTTGGTGAGGGCCACCTTCATATTCTCCTGCATGGCCGCCTGGTGTCATGCCCATTCCACGGCGAACGAGGCCAACCCCTTGAAATTTTCCCAGTCGGGTGCAAAGGTCGACGAAAGGCCCAAAACTTGGGTTTGCCTTGGCTTTGGAATGTTCACAAGGTCTTCCTTGCGAGTGGCCAGAGCTTCAAAATACCAATTTGTGATTCTGCCTGGGGCTCCCCCTACCAGGAATTACAAACAACAAAAGTACTGTGATGCGTTGTGTTGTCATGTGATGTGATCTGACGTGCTTTGATGTGGTGTGTTGTGCTGTGCTATGATGTGATGTTTTATGATGCTGTGCGGTGTGGTGTGATGTGTTGTGTTGTGCTGTGCGGTCACAGGCCCACCGGTTGGCAGATGTATTTCAGTGGGTCAGCAGCTTGCTAACCAGGCCTGACATCCATCTCGCAATACCCTTGGGCTTCTCTGGCCCGTGCGAAACCAAGGAAGATCCAAAAGCCCAGAAGGGTCTGTGCACCTTGCTTCTTCTTGTTTTTTCTTGGAGCCGATGCCAACCCTCGACTCAAAAGAAGGCAGGTTACTTGGAAAGGGGTTCCAACGATTCCGAGAAGTCCGCGGGGGGCGGGGTCTCTCCCGCTTTTGTGGGCCGGGAACCAAAGTCTCGAAAAAAATATTGTTTTGCAACCAGTGGTTCCACAGAGGCCACCAACTGAGAGACTCCTTGGGTTGAGCGGTTCTCACCCGAAAGGTGTAACGCTGTGAATCGAAGGGCACCCTTTTCAGGTCAACTGATTCTTTTTTGGAGATGCAAGAATCTGGAGGCATCAACCAAGGAACCCTCATTGAGGCTAATAGGGCTGGTGTTTTGCCGTGGAAACATATTGCGGGCCTCCAGACAAGGTCAACCTGGAAAGAACAACTCTTCTCCCCCTGCACACTTAGAGCTGGTTGTTTATCTGGCTGTTTCCTGAACTGAGGGGCCCAAAGTTTCAAGGAAAACCACACCACGAAAGCCGTTGCTGGTGGCGTCCAGCTTACGTGTGGCAAACTGGAGGACGCCGACGGACTGGCAATTGCAAAGTCGAACTTCTTCCCGAAACGCCCATTTTGACCAAGGTACTGGCCACTTTTTCAGGTCTGAAAGGCAACCCGGGACCGCCGATTTGTTGGGGTCAGGCAAGCACTGGACTTGCAAGTTAGAATCCGATGACCCGAACAAAGCGCGTGAGACACTGACCGGTGCCCAGCGATTGTTTGTCCACTACGACAACCCGGCCTTGAAGTAGTCCATGGTGGCGGCGTCCAGGGCAACCTCCGGCTGGAAGCCTGGAAATCGCCGCCTCTCGCACCGAATGTCCAATCCTTTTCGCTGTTCAAAAGGGGCCAGCCCTTAGCAAAACGCCGCTGGAAGAGTCGACAGGTCAGCGGATCCACTGGTTGGGGTTCAATCCGAGACATCGGCCCTAGCCGGTGCCCTTGGAACTTGAAGGGCCCTTTTGCAAAGCGCCACGCCTTTTGGTTTGGGGATGGCCATCACGCGCCTTGAGAAAGATCGCCTTTTGGGCACCCAAAGCCGGAACGGCCCAACCTGACTCAGCCCCAAATGCCCCAACCTTCGCCCGGGGGCCAGGGGAAGAAGCATGCCCTATGTTCAGGGAAGCCCACTCAAACCTTGTGCCACTGCCAGTTTGGAGAACGCTGAGATGGTGCTGCGGACCCTTGCTTTTAGGGGGCCAAAAACGGGCCATGTTGAAGGACTTCAACCTGGCTCCAGGCAAGTTGCTCGATGTCCCGTCAAGTGGCAATCAAACAAACGACACAGGATTAAGCGAGGGAAGCTATTGATTCCGGTCGTTGGCCCCCTGCAAAACGTGTGATCAGCTTGTTGCAAGGAAAGACAAGCTTTGCGCTATTGTCCTGTTAAGTTAGTTCGCCGCCAGAGAAGCCAGTCACGAGCCCAGCCGACACCCCATGATAAGTTGAAACGGATGGTCACCAGGGTTCCAACCTGTAGCATGGTGCTAATGTTGCCCTCAGATTAATACACTCGGGTTGATTCATAGACGGGGTGCCCCCTTTTAGTGGAAATTCATCACTTTTGGAGGGAACACTATATAATAGGACAGGTTTATGAATCCGGGGTCAACATGTTCTGTTTGAACAGCCACCGAAACGGCTTCCGACAGGTGCGTCGGGTTCTCATTTCAACACCGTTTTGCCCGTGGCCGCCATAGTTTCAGGGGACTCCGAATCACGAGACGGGCTCCGGGCGGTAGACGGCGTGATCACCGCTCTCTTCCGAGTCGTTGATCTCCGCCAGAGCCACCTTTCTAAGCGGCGCAATCAGCAGGGCTTCGGTAGTTTCTTTTTGAGTTCCCATATAGAGGCGTTCTTTTTAGAGGACCCCCAAGATGTCTTCGGTGTTCACTATGGTGTTCTTGAAAACCATGAAGTGGGGTACCCGAGGAAGGAAAAAAATGGACGCTCTCGGGGCTCTAGTGCGATTTTCGTTCGGGGACAGGGCCTAGCTTCCTGTTGTAAGGCTTAAAGCAACCAAATAAGGAATCTGCGCGCAGTGGCCCTCATGGGTAAGCTCGTTGGACTCCCAACAACGATCGATCAGCTTGTGGTGTTTTATGATCCCTTGCCAAAGGCTATAGGTTGAGTGGAATCGGGATGTATGATTCATACTCTGAACTCTCAAAGTCTAGTCCGAGAGTGTAGAAGTTCATTTCTACCAGAGCACATATCTTAGTTGTCTTCACGATTTACTCAACCCCCCACCCCTCACCCCATCCCTATCGTCTTCTTGTTGGCAAAAAAAAAAAAAAAAACGGCGGGTTCCACTGGTAGATGAAAAGGAACCAAACTGAGGAATCCATCTACTTTCAAGCAAATTGACACCTACTGCCACCCCGGGCTTGGCCGAATTGCTTTCAAAAACCAGCCTAGGGTACCAAAAGAATCTTGTTGACACAAGTGGGTGTTGAACATGCCATTTGACAGCCATTGAGAGATCCAACTAGATGGTTCTGAGTTGTTTTGAGGATAACCGGAGGAAAACCCCAAGGCCAGCCCCCAGTATGAGGGTCCCATTTTGGACACCCAAAGGTCAATCTTGGGGTTCTGGTTTAAGCATCTCGCCGTTCTCGCACTTCGGCCCGAATCGAAGGCGGGAAGGTCCGGATGCCAATGAGGGTTGCCCCACTTGTCGGTGTATAGGGATGCATCCAGCCCCGCACTCGAACGCTAAGAGACTGGCTTAGGGTTCCAACCTCATTTCCCTCAAACTCGCTGTTTAACATGAGTTTGAATTGCTGGGCTTCTATTGGTGTGTTGCTGGAGTTTGCAGCTTGCGAGTGATTCTTCTTCGACCTGGCCACATGCCAATATGTCAGGGATCGCCCTTTCGGGCTTCGAAATCCAGCCGGACGGGCGGTGGAGGCAGTGTTTTGGCCCAGGCCCTCAAAACAGCCCATTGGCGAACCATTTGCAAGCTGTTGGCGTGGGTAGTAGTTCGACCCACCTACCCCCCTTAAGGCAAGGGCGCTTCAAGCTCGTAGAGGAAGGAGTCCCGTTTTGGTTGAAAGGCTCTGTCGAATGTCCAGATGATCGATTTGGTTTCCGGAACATGGGGCAGGGACAAAACCTCAACCACAAACCTGGGAGGGGTTTGCCCCCAACATGTTCCAACACCTGAATGTGAGTTTGACTGTTGTCTAGGAGTCTAGTTACCCAGTTCCACTCTTCTGCCCAAGGCACAATTCCAAGAACTGAAAGCATAGTTGGCATCTGAGTGTCAAAAGTTGTCGCTCCAGGAAATCGGAATAATCGCCTCGCTTTTGTGGCAATGTAGTGAGCCCCTGTTTCAATCAAGGGAAGCACATGGAACCAGAAGGGACATGAGACTCTGAAACAAAGGAAAATCCGCCGGCCCATTGCTCGCTCGCCTGCATGGGCGCGCTCAAGGTCTCGTTGCGGATGCGGTCCCGGTGCTCCGTGATTTCCGCCAGGTACTGCCTCGGTTGGTTGCACTTGTTGAAGCCACCACCGACGCGGTCCCTAAACCCAGAAACCACATGGAACCACAGCCCCAAAAACACTGAAAGGCAAACCAGGTGGCTGAATAACAAAGGTTCGCTGAACGTGTTGAAGGGGCTGGGCCTCAATGTTTTCAGGCAACTGCTTTGGTCCCCCCCCCTCCCGATGTTTTGGGAGAGAGTAGATAGCTATAGACTTTGATCCCTGAATAGCCTGAGGTATTCAACTGTACTGTGGAACACTTCGCTCATTCCATTTGCCAGTATGGTCGGAAATCAGGCTGACATGCCAGGATCTGGCCCCAAATCCCGACCCCCCTTTCTGGAAACTCAGCAAAGAATGGTATGGGTGTGTCATTCTTGGGGGGAGGGCCGTTTGCTTGCGTTTCAAAGGAAAACAAAAGGACACCGACTGTTTGGGGGGTCCCTCCCATAGGGTTTTGAATCAAGTTTGGATACCGATTTGAAGAGGAAGGCATTGAACCACTTTGGGGGGGAGATCCACAGAACCCGCCACAGGTTTGGTACACCTTGCGAAAGGAAACTATGTTCATTCAGATTAGCCCAGGCGGTATCTCCAACGGAACTCCCTGAACCCTGCCTGAAAGCTGCTTCGAACTGCCCCAGAGCTGATTATACTCCAAAGCTTGCAGTGCATCTCAGGTAGCCTTAAAAGGACCACGTGATGAGTGATGCCAATATCCGCGGACTGGCACGAAGGGAATCCGCAACGGGGTTCAACTGCTTGAAGTGGTGAGATGGGGAGAAGGTTGGGGGAAGAGTCAACCTGTTGCACAAAAAACGAAACCGACACATGGATGTTGTGTAAAAATGAGGTTGAACGCCTTTTCTGGCTGGCTGCAAACGTCTTGTTCAACCAAGAGCTGTGTCAAAATTTGGGGGAACAAATTGCTTTTTGCCGTTTCCATCTAGACGCTGCTCCACCAACTTCAGAGCCACGTCCCCAAATCACAAAAAGGCGACCCCTGGATCACTCACATCGCAGGTGACCCCATCTTACCTTTGTCCCATCTTTTCATTCCGGAAGTCTTTCAGTGTAGACAACCCAACGAGGAAAACAACGGAATAAACCTCTCACTGATTATGGGTCTTATCACATTTTGGAGAGGAAGGCCAGTCAACAGCACGAATTGAAACAGGCATACCTGGAGCCTCCAGCACCCTTTAAGGCAGTGTACCTATGATCTTGGGGGGGCATGATCTGCAAAGGTTCAAAAGGAGACTCCCGGGATTTGAGGGATGTTCAGGTCACATAGTGTAAAGGGTTGAATGATTTCCACTCTCCAAACATCAGGGATATCGTTTAGTACCCACAACCCGCTTCTAGTGTCAGGCGCTAAGCTCAGTACCCATTTACTCCCAAACTTCGCCTCAAAATCACCACTCTCAGGCTCCGGTTTGCCGCCACGGCCCCTCAAACAATCAAAGCACCCTCTCCACGCGCCAAAAGTCCTCTAGAGTCTGCAGAGGAGCAAACTGCGATGAACAAACAAGTCCACCCACAAAAAGACGTGTTGGGGAGGGTCCAAAATGATGGCCACCTGAAATTTCCCTAAAGACTATTCACTTGCCCGGGTCTGCTTTTTGCGGAGGCTCGGTATGTATTTTCTGGGGTTTTGTTTAAGGGAACCCAAAGGAAACCGGGCTTCCTTCTGGCTGGGTACCCTTGTGCCCGAGCCATTTGAGCCAAGCAGCATCCGCATGTCCATCACAGTCTTCTGCAAATCCTGCGGCTCTCACTTGCAGGGGTACCGTGGATGGGCAAAGTCCTGGTGGGGCGGAAGCCCTATGAATGATTGGGATAAACCGCCTACCATTTGGTGCAGGGTTTGGTCGATCCACAGTAGGCAAACGAAGCACCGACTTCCCACCATCTGCCAAAAATGAAGTCAATGAACTGATACAGCGGACCCCCAGGCAGAAATGTGGCAAGGAAGCCATAGCTAGGCACCATGAGCCGAACTGAGCTGCGGGCCGCCTGGAGTCTGTCGTCTGGATACATTGCCCCCAGTCCCAGAAAATGTCCTGTCCATTGCCTGATGTTTGTTGGGGTCTGACCAATTGGCAACTTATTCACGATGGCTCCCTCACACAACTCGGGTAAAGCGATTCAACCCCGTTGGTTTCTTTGAGGTTCGAATCGGAAGGTGCCCTTTTCAGGCCAAAGGTTTTGGCAAGCTCCGCTCCTTCCCCTCTTCCCCAAACCCCCCGTCCCCCCCCCCCCCGCCCTCGCTGCCTCGTACTTCTCTTTGAAGCCCCTCTCCACCTCGTCCATCATCGGTAGCCGGTCATTGATCACAGCCTGCAAGCAGACTCTTGGCGGCCTATCAGCCACAGAAATCAACCAATTGTTTGAGGGGCGTGGTGGATTTACAGGTGAAGTTGCCTCCAACTGGCGCACGTCTCAGGGAGCAGCGTCTGGATTGCGCAATCCCCCAACTTTTGGCCAGCTCTCCTGGAACACACACAGACTTGTCCATTGCTGATTGTGCAGCTTGCCACTTTTACACACCATCTCATAGGCTGAGTAGTTCATCTCGGAGTCGGCCCCATGCTGTGATCAAACAGCGTCGCTAGGTTTTGGCAGGTGCGTTCTTCAGGACCTGTACCCATTTTGCCCAAAATCACGACCAAGTGCTTTTTTGGGGACCAACACATTACAGGAACACTCAACCAAATGCATTCTTGACCGGACTGTATCCATGTGGGCAAGCTAGCCCAGAATCATAAGCGCGTGGTTTACTTGATTTCAGATGGAGACCCCCTCCAACAAAATAGACCAAAAGGCACCGTGGGTTCGGGAAAGCCGAGCCCAAAGTCTGGCCCGTGCTAATTTTACGCACTTTCCTTTTAATTTCCCTTTTCAGCAGCCCCAAGACAGGCACCCTCGAAAAGGAACCGCACCCAACATAGTAGGTAACAAGGTTACCTAAATGGTTTACAAACATTTAGGGTCTGTCGGCTTCCAATTGTTGGAAACGGGCTCTGCTGAGTTGACCGGCCATAGACGGGTCTGGCAGGTGAAACTCCGGAGCACCGGCAGCACCCTTCATCCCAGGCACCACCATCTGCAACACATCTTGCATCCTCAGCATCGTATGCATTATCAGCATCACCAGCCGCCCGTGAAGGTTCCCGATTACGATTGAGTGATGCAGCGCCTGCACAAGTGGTTCAAGTAGTGTTTGTGTTCGCAAACCACTTGGAAGCTGGCACTGAGAGTCCAAGCTGACCACCCTAGTCCCTCCCACAACCGTAGCTTGCGTCAGGCTAAGGCATCACCAACATCAGCAACACATGGGGCACCAGGGACCCCAACCAGCCGTTAAGCCAGGAAAGCGGCCACAATATCCTCCAGCACCTCCAGCAAAAAATCCGCGCAACTGCAAATGCCGTGGCTTTACCAACAGACCTCCAAGCTCGCCGACCCCGCTGTCGCCGTGCCATGGGAGGGAGTTGCCAAGCAACCACTTTCCTGCGATCGTTTGAGCCATATGGCCATGGCTCAAAATCCCGTAACCCCCAGTGAACATGCCAATCCCCCCTAAAATAGGTCCTAAAATGGGTGGTGAATTCACCTACCCCAAAATGGGATCCCAAAACGGTTTTGACCACCACAGCCATATGGATCTTCTAACCAAATCGAGCCCGAAAATTCCTCGGCCTCCCAGGTGAGGATCAGCACCGTCCAGGCCAGGTCCTGGCCGGAAAGGTTGGGTGACGTGCGATTCAGCCACACCAAAAACCACGAGTCGCGGCCGTTTTCTGAAAAAAGTGGGCTGATTACGTCTCCAAGGGGATTCCCCTTACAGAAGGTAGCCCAAAACAGAATTGTCCGTCTTCAACGCTTCCCAGTTTTTGAGGCACGGTGCCCCTTTCAGAGGCTGGTTCGCCCAAGCAAAGGCCAAGCGAGTTGGCCCGCGCTTTCAAGGGAAACAGTGAGAAGGAGCATCCACAGCGGCGAAAACAGATTGCCCGGAACCAACATGCCCCCTCCCTAGAACCCCTGGCTACCTCTCGGAACCTTGCGAAACCAGCGTAAAGCCATGCAATTTTCGTATAAAGTCTTGAAGGAACGGCCCCATTTCCCAATACTCCGAACGGAAAAGAAGGGTCCTAAGCTGCCAGCTTTTGAAAAAGGCATCGAATATCTGCCTCCTTCTGATGTGCAATTGGGTAAAGCATAGGAAAGAGGGTATGAGATATGATGCAATACCCCTTCTGAGAGATGATATGAGCAACAGCACTCATTTCCGGTATGCGAAAGGGGGGTTTGTGGTGGGCTCCTCAGCGCTGAAATTAGGCCATCAACTCCCTGCGCGCCAAACGCTTCACCCGACTCGTGGTTTACAAAGACCCCAAATGCTTGCTCTGCCTGAACTGGACTGGGCTGCCCTAGTGAACGCCAAGGATTTAGTCCCTCCATGTGACCCCCCCCGGATCATCCAGAGGTTTACTCCCGGGGTTCCCCGCGGTTTTGTAGCTGTAAAGGAAAACCACAGGACTACCCTATATAGAGGGCTCCCTCAAAAAACAACACCTACTGTTGGGGTTGGTGTTCGTCCCTAGAAGGGGGGTGACATCTCTCCAAAAAGGGTAGTTTAACACTGTCTTGGGCAGTTAGACGTGTCCTTGTGGATTGGTGTTGATTGGTTGGAAATATGGTGAACCCGAGCAGCAGCGAAGTGTGTTCCAACTGAACCGCCAGAACGCTTCCTTGGCATAGCTGTCTAAGGGTGTTTGTACACACAAGGCTTGCCAGACCTTCAGATCATCGGCTTCCATGGTTGGAAGGAGAGTATCCATTTTGACTGTGCTCTTTTCAGGGGAGCTGTTGTACTTTCCACTCTTCAGGGTCGGTCTAGTTTGCGCTTCCCCGCCAGTTCAATTCGAGATTCCTTCCGGAGGTGTATGGTTCGGGAGGTGTATGGTTCAAGGGAAGGCGTGGGCAAGTTAGGGTTTAGGGTTGGTGGAGCTTGCCTCCACAAAGCTTTGATCCGAACCCTTCGACAGGTTGCAAGAACCGTGGGGGTTGCAAAAACGGACGACAAACCAAAATCAAAAACTTGCCACCCCGCTGATCCATCCTTGGGGTTCGCATATTCTGGAGGCCAACCTCTCCGCTCCCATGACTCCGTCGGTCCAGCAACGTGCTGAGCGTGAAGTTTCGGCTTTGACCCATCTGAACGAACTTCTGAGTGAACCTCAGGGCATTAAAATCGCAAACTCTGAAAACTGTCCACAGCCAGAGTTCCCAACCACTTACCCTGCCTCAAGTGGAAAACGGCTTGGATGTTAGAACTCGTTAGATACCCTTCCAGTCGGTGCTCCTGTGGAGAGATGGGGAAGCAAAAGATGGATTCCTTTCGCCAACTAAGAAACAACCACCGGGAAACAACAAAAAGGTACATCGAACCCTCTGCATGACACTATGAAACAAGACGACATGACCAGAACGGTGTTCAAAACGGGCCAATACTTTTGTGACCCCCCCTAAAAGTATCTATGAGAGGTTCGGAGCGGGACGTGTTTGCCGAAGGCAGGGGAATCGAGCTCAATCATCTGGATTACAAGCAAAACATGACCACCTGTCCTGATCACGTCAAATGAAACCCGAACATCCAGAAAATGCAATATGGGTGGTCCCCAAAATTGGGAACCTACTCCTTGGTTGGGTGTTACCCTTAGCCAAACGAGCTGCGGATTCTAAGGGAACATACCAGTTGTGTTCTCCTGGCCAGGCCGTTGGGGCCAAACGCAAGGTCTCAGATCCCTGTTGGAAGAGTTCCAGTGACCAGGGTAAGTTTCAACAGGTGCCCTGAGGCTCAGGATTTTGAACCCAGTTTAGTTAAGCGTTCCTCAAGCAGCTCGGGTGGATAGCAGCACCGTATGAGTACAGCCAGGAAAACATGTTCGAGCAAACTCAGCCTGTCAGCCCTACTCGTTCCAGCAGTTTAGACCCAACTTGGTGGTTCTCAGAGGAAAAGATCCCCTATAAAACCAACCGTTTGCGGCTTTCAAGGGCATCCCAAGGTTCATTCCCAAAGTTCCAAGGTGGGTTCCTGCAAAATAAAACGGCCACAGAAATGCCAACCCACAAATGGGCAAGGTGGCATGCGAACTGAACATCGGCCTGGTCTGGGCGGGCTCCTTGAAACCAAACACAGAGTGCACTTGATGAGGCGGTCGATTTCATACATTGGGTACGTGGCTAGTACCGTGGATGGACATGGTCCTGCACTAGTTGGGATTGAGAAAACTCCACGAATACTGGGACAAACCACCTAATTACTGCCTGGTGCTGGATTTTGTCCATCCACAGCTCTGGTTATACCCCCATAACAGCTGCAAGGGACGTAGCCTGCCTCCTTCAGGGGGGGGGCACATCTGTCATTGGGGCGGAGAAAACCTGAAGGACCCTGGTAGTTGCTGACGGAATTGTTTGAGGGCTTCGGGACTGAGCATACTGAGCCTAGGGATCCCGAAAGAAAAACCCACATCCGGGATGACTCAGTGCGGGGTTGATTTCCTATGCCTGAGCTCCCTGCAGGTTCACCAGGTCATTCAGCTTGGGGTCGCTGTTCATGAAGTCCTTCATCGCCCGCTTCCACCCGGCAATCCTCGTGACACGCTCCCGGCTCCTTCTCGCTCCCACACATCGCACGCACGCACTTTCTTGAATCAAACGGACAAAACGGTCCGCACCAGTTTCTGACGAAAATCCTCCGGCCCAAGCAACAAAACCGGGTTCTGATTGCGGCAAAAGCAGGGAAGTTGCATCGCCTGGGAAACAATCGAGCTCTTGGCTCCAGGGAAGCCTTTCTGGCTAGAGCCAATAGGACTAAATAAAAGCTTAACCTTTTGGAGTCATGACCAAAGGTGGACCTGGGAGAAACTGAAAGGTCAAAAGGTCGCTTGGCCTTGGGCAAGTGAGGGTTGTGTCCAAGCCGCGTGGAGACCCACGAGGAGTGTTTGGCAACGTCTTCTTGCCCAGCAAGGTGCCGAATTCAATGTCCTTTCATTGGAGCTTCATATACATCCAATTCGAAAGCATCACCCCACGAAATGCCGCGAAAGGCACATTCACCAAGTAAGTTGGCATTCGCAATGGTGATGTTTCACGGGGCTCCCTCAATTCCCCCTCAAAAGCACCCCCCCCCCATCCAGGAAGCTTTACCTATCTCAAAGGTGATGTTTGAAGCCACAAAAGGGTAATGAAGGGAGCCCTTCAAGCATCCAGAAGGCTTGTACTTCATGCTAGAAACATAGGGAACTGTAGAAAATCCCTCGTTGCTTCCTGGCCCATGCGTTGACCAAAGTCCCTGACGAAGCGGAAGCCTAAAGGGATCCCTGTTTCTGAGTCAGCATGATTTGATGTCATAAGAATTCCTAGGCCTGAGTTGCGGTGAAGGGATCTTCATCAAGATCTCATTTTGCCTCCAGCGCTCGCCATCAAATACACACAAATGACAACCCCCACCCACCCACCCACCCAACCACCCACCCACCCAACCCAACTCAACCCAACCCAACCCAACCCACGCGAAACCCGAGGCCGGGGCTTCTTGATCTTCTCCGGCACATCTCCGTCTGGCAATTTCCTGAGGCAAGGGGAAAAACTGGGGAGCCCGGTTTGGGCCGGTGGTGAAGCCTAAGGCGCAAACAGGGTTGCACATTGGAGTTAGGGAGCAAAAACTAAACAACCAACAAGACAGCCGCTTTCCATGGTGGCACCATTGCTTGGTAATAGCGAACGCCAAACAAGCCGCCAAAGGAAAAGCACTAAGGTGAAGTTCAGGCCGCCGAAACTACAAGTGCGGCAGAATATCGGTCCTGCACAATGGGAAGACCAAAGGTTGCTCCCATTTGACCTAATCTTTGGGTAGACAGTTCGCTCGTCAGCGTGCTGTCGTCTTGCTGTTCAGAGCGAAGGCTCCCTACCCTAAGTGCCATCTGCGATGTGTGGGTCCCTAAACGATGCCATGGCCAGTTCTCTTCTGAAACCAGATGCAAGAAGAATAAAATCTTAACAAAGCCCTTGAAACAGAATAGAAGGAATCCCAAAAGAGAATCCTCCACTTTGATGCGGATGTGTGTGTGTGTGGTGTGTGTTGGGTGGTTGGAAATGCCCCACCCAAGCAAATGTGCCAATTAAGTCTAGTTATCTAAAGAACTCCAGGATCCCTGAGAATCCTAAAAACCAACCAGGCTGTGGGTCTAAACGGCCAATTTGAAGTGGCTCCAGTGGGTCTGTGACATTCCCCTTTCAGCAAACACTCCGTGGGATGTGTCGAAACTGGAAGGGTTTTCTGGAAACGGAACATGACGCCGTCGTTTGGCGCCCATCGGTGCAATGGTTTCAAAGGATCAAGCCTCTGGTCCAGCCACCAAACAAAGACGACAAATAGCAGTGGTCTTCTTTTTTGCTTTGGAGGGGCTGGTTTCAAAGTGAAACCAAACGGAAACCACCCCTTTTGGACGTTCCCCCAAAAAAAAGAAAAAAGGACCCCCGGTTGAAAGTTCGAAACTTGGGCCCGAGTCGAGGTCTCAAGTCCAGCCCAAATCGGCGACCAGGAAACCGAGCAGTACGATGGAAAGTCCATGGTCAGTGCTTCGCAAAATGGTGGTTGAGGGGGAAACCAAGAGGATATCCAGGATACCAAGCATTTCAGGGGACCACTTTTTGAGAACCCAGTCTTGTTAGAAACCCTTGGAACGGTTGTGGCGGCAAGTCCCTACAATGTCCCGGGTCCCGTGCCCAGCCCTATAAACCCTCGGTCCACTTTGAGAAGCAGCCGTGAAGTTTGCAACAGCGAATCAGGAGAAAAGCTTGATGGTGTCCTTTTCGAAAAATCAATGGATTTCACACACTTTCAGAAGCCAAATTGACCCCAATAAAACTCCATGTTTCAACTAAACTGCCAAGGCCATCTACGCCCCGTTTCCTGAAGAAAACGAATACTCCGAGGCTTGATTCCCATTTGCACCCATCCTTCCTTTCACAAACCCCCCGTTTCCCCCGAATACGGACCGTGCCCCTGCGCAAACAGCTAAGCATTCTGCCAATCGTGATTCTTCGTTCGGTCAAACTAAATGGACACCAACCGCAGGGCTGCCTGAAGCATCGTCCCGCTAAGGCTCCAAGCTGGCTTGGGGGAAAATTGGAACCCTGTACCCTTTCGGTTTCGCTTGAAACCATCCAAAATGGGTGAGCCCCTTCCCCATTTCTGGACACACCCCGTTTCCTGGTTTTCGGGCTTGGGGTCCCCGCCGATCATGCCACCCCCGCGCTCCAGGCTCAGCCGTCTTGAATTGGCTGAGGCGCCTCACCCATCCGCATACGGGCTGAATGCATGTTGCTCCTACTGCAAAGTCCTGCACCATTTGGATGAAACCCTACTGGATTTCCTGGGTCCGCTTCATGAATTAGTGTGGTTTTCAGGTGGCCCACTCCATTCCAATCATTGGCCCCCTAACATTGGTTGGCTGCTTGGTTTCCCAAGAACCACCCAAATCAAAAAGGGTCTCCGCTTTTTTGGGCACCCCCCATTTATCCAAACAATTGAGTGGAGATCTCACTTGATGCCCCCGGATTGCCATGTTCCCTTCAGGATCCCAAGGTCGAAATGTCCCAATCCCAGTGCATCATGTTCAGAAGGCACCGCTCATCCTATCATCTCCTGCAAGATTGGGTCGGATTCCGAGATTTGGACCTTGGGGTGCGATTCCCCAAAACAAGGTCAAGCCAGCCAGGTGCTGAGACCCGGCTTCCCCCCCTGTCCACTTCACGGTAGGCCCCAGGTGTCCGGAGTTGGAAGACGATCCGAAAGAGCCAACCCCTCTTTGTCCAAAGGTCGCTATCGGGAGAGGCATGATCTTTCCAAAAAGGAGACCCCACTCGTGTCAACTGGTCGCCTTTCTTAGGTCCAAATCAGCAAGCGCTCGATTTCACCGGAAAGCATTCCAAGGGTGGAAAGCCTAGCTCAGCAACCCGCCCTTTTAGGTGGTTCGAAGGATCTAGGTAAATACGTATGGCATTTAGGCCAGCATGCCGTACTTCCCTTGCACCGACAAAGCGACAATTTATGTGGAGGGTCCTTGCCACCCGGTTTCATGCATTACTTTGTGAGCTAGGGATTTCGAAAGGATTGCGTCTGTCGATGTTCAGATGATTATCATCTACTGGACGCTGCTTAAATGGCGCTCAACCGGCGTAAAAATAAGTCTGTGTGCTTCTGTCAGTCCTTGAGTCCTTGAGAGCCGTTTCAAAAGGGAAGCACTCCATGTCCTGATTTGAAGCACGTGGGGACCGGCCCGGGACCCAGCGCCGAGCCTGGACAAGCCCGCAAGCCCCTTTACAGCCAGGTCTTCAATTAGAATTTGAATGGGATGTACATGGGACTAAGGAAATGCTTTTCCGAATCATACTTGTGTCAATTTAGGATTCAGAAAACCCTACTGGAAATTGTATCGCACATTTAAGATGTTGATAGAATTATTGCCCCAATAGAACTGTACAAATCGATTAGAGTTTGAACAGAACTTGACAAGGATAGATTCCACACATAATCTCTATTTTAGGTTAGACTTTGAATTAGAACTATTCTATTCTAAATTAGAGTTTGCATAGGGTGTTCTTTCCAATTAAATTTCTTTACAATTCAGTTAACATGTCCACACAGTTTATTCAAACAGAGTTCAACTCGAATTTATATTCAAAAGTGTGAAAAAGGCGCACGCTCACAGTGCCGAGCTCTCTTTAGAAGTCTCCCCACAGTTCCCGGACAAGTTTCAAAGGTTGAATTGGAAGAAGTAAGTCAAGCACCTCAGCTGAACATTCAATGCCGTGTCACCTGAGTCACAGCTGCCAAAACCGTGCCCGCAACCCAGGGACTTTCGATAGGTATAAATGGGACGAAATGAATCTGAATTGAGGACCCTTTGGACATCGAGTACCTGATTTGTGAAGGTAGTCTTCATAAAAATTCCTGACCTTTTAGGCCTCATCCTCCGCCTCTTCCTCCGCGCCTCTCGTCAAGGAAGGCCACGGAATCCGGCATCGGATGGATCCATTAGGGTTGTCCCCTGTCGAAAAGGATTTCCATACCTCAAACGGGCATGTGGTCGGAAAAGGTGTGCGTAGACTTGCTTGAAGAGGCTCGTTTCTTGGTTCAAGGTTTGAAAAATGGCTGTCAAAGCTTGACGAGTCGCGCGCTCTCAGCCCTGGTGCGTCTGAACGCGATTGCATCTGCGGGACCTGCATGCTGTGCCTGTCAGCCCGGTTTCTTGCGTAGCAAATCTGCGGCGGACGGAGTTTCTAGCTCTTGTGCCATGCATACGAAACATGCGAGGGATACCTCTCATGGCGGCTAAAACTCGATCACGGTGTGCCTTTCCAAAGAACCACCCGAAAAAAAAAAAAAAGGTACCTCGAAAAAAGACGCCCCCTTGGTGGTTGGTGTCCTGAATCAAGCCAAAAACAATGAAAAGTAATGAATAAGCTGGGGGCTGGATTTCAGGGGGTGATATATGCTGATAAATTGATATCATCAAAAAATGGACCCCTATGGACTCCTGGCCCTTGCAGGGGATCGCCCGAGCCTGAGACAACCCTTCCACGGGTGGTTACTGAGCACCCGTGTGCTTCTCGTCGTCCTCATTAGGGCTACAAACAGGGCTCTTTAAAGCTGCAACGGCTACGATGATTCAAAAATACCTGAGGTAAGGCATCGCAAATAACCCCTGCTTGTTCTGAGAACCCCCCAAATGAGCTTCAGGCTGGAAACACACTTGGGTTGACCCGGATGTATTGGCGGGTTCTTTCCCAAAAAGTGAGCACATCCGCTCTGACACAGGTTGCAACCCCGTATATACAACGCCAACGTTGTGTACGGGGTTCCCATGAACGTAAGGCGGGCGCCGCTCGCCAGCATGCAATAAGTTCGAAGCCACAACACAGACCATGATTTCATGATGCCGTGCGTGTGGGGAAGCAAGAAAGTGACACCACAATATCGCTGGGGCCCCCTCCAGGCTTAAAAGCACTATGTTCGGACATGGCGTAGTCAAGGTGTGTGTTGTCAGGATGTCCTTGCTTGTTGTTAGGGAATCCGCCGACCCTCTGCCTCTCGTCCTAGCCGGGGGACCGGCGTGGGATGCAACTGGATGCGGTCCCAGCGCTGGTCCCGGGGCGGGTCCCAGCACCGGTCCTGGTAGTTGACCTGGCTTGTGGTGTTGCGCCGGGTCTGCGACGGGTTCTAGGAGGACCCCAGACCGCGGAACTCAAGACGACCCATGTTTGTGCGTTCGGGGTACAACTTGCAACTTGGAGCCCAAACACCAGCTAGCGGCTCCAAGGGTCGGCAGCAGCAGCGGAGGCCTGGTTAATCCGGCCTCGCCGCGCTATGTCGCCCAATGCGCATGCCTTGCCTTTGCCTTCCGACTGACGGTTGCTGCCGACCCCTCGCATCGTCCAGCGCCTTTGGTGCATCATCACCGCCTGCGCGACCATTGGAGCTCGAGTTGGGGGAAGGCTCAAAACACTGTAAATACGCAGCAACCCGGCTGCATTGCCAGCATCGGCGGCGCTTTCGGAAGGCCCCTGTGTTTCGCGCATCGCCTGCATCCCTTGCACCGCCCGCGTTTGGGGCCAGCCTTCCCCTAGACATTCCTAATGAGACACGCGCGCGCGCGCGCCGCACACACGCATCTGCGCCACGCGCGGGCCGCACGCACAGAACCAACCAACCAACCAACCAACCATCCCTCCCTCCCTCCCTCCCTCCCTCCCTCCCTCCCTCCCTCCATCCATCCATCCATCCATCCATCCATCCATCCATCCATCCACCTTCCCTGGCCGGCGCGGAGCGTGAACATATCTCAAACCTCCCAGCTGCAAAGTCTCGGGTGTGGTAGGCTCATTCGAAAAGTTCCCACAAACTAGCACGCGCAGGCTGCTCAAGTCTTTTGCCACACAGCATGTGAAACCTTTGTTCGCTCCAAAGGCGCGCCTTTTGGTGGAAGACCCCGGGTTTCGCAAACGAGATCCATTCCAAACCCTCTAGGCGAGATCCTCAAAAAGCACCTTGGGGATGGTAGTCCAGTGTGGCTTGGGGCTACTGCCCAACGAATCCATAAGATGCTTGGGCTTTGAATGGACCTCGAATGTCCGGATCCGCGCCCGAAATATGCAAAAAAACACAGATGGCAGCTTTGCTGGCCGCTTTAGCACCATCTCTTCCCCGGTCAAAGAAGATCTTCTCTGCCAGAAGAACAACTCAAACAAGTATCATCTCCAATCCCCCCTCGCCAAAAAAACAGAAGTAAAACAAGCAGGAAGGACTTCAACAGCTGCAACGTCAAGGCGATGCTCAGGTAAGGCGCCACTTTGCCCAAGGCGAGGGGCTCAGAGGCGCAGCTCCTCCACCTCGGCCTCCAAGGGCTCTGCGCGCTCCAAGTGCGGCTCCAGCGCCTGGGGCGTGGGGTGGGGTAAGGTGGGGTGGGGTGGGGGGTGGGGTGGGGTAGGGTGGGGTGGGGTGGCGTGTTGGTTTCTAATGTTGACGGTAATGCTTTCATGAAATAGACCACTCGGATCTTCGGATCTTCGAGTGGGATTTGTCATTCGAGTCCGCAAGCTCCCAAACCGGTCGGTCAGGAAAACCTACCTCACGTTGAATGGAGGACCCTGGCGAGACATAAGCTTGCATTGTAGGGCTCCAACGTTTGCATCCAACCTGTAAACAGCACCAAGGAGAAACTACTCGAATGTATTGGCCCAACAAGTGATGCTCAAAGCCGAGGTCTTCGAAACAGAAAAAGCGAACCTTCTGCTGGTCCAAAGGGGGTCGATGTTCACAAAGTACTAGATCATGTCCCAAATAAACCTCACAGGTCGATAGGGCGGTGTTCACCACGTTCATCCCAAGTGGAAGATCCGGCCCGTGCGAGAACCAGCAGGCTTCCATGTCCAAGATGAGGCCTGTGCCTCACAGCAATACAAGTATCTTAATTCCATTTGGTGAAACCATCCAGTTGCTGCAAACCAACAAGAACAAACAAGGCAGAGTCCTGAGGGCGTCCTTCACAAACCAGAAAAAGACAAAACCAGCCGTTGTGTTTTGCAACATGCAGCCGTAAACCTGAATGGACCAGCCCCGCCAACGAACAAAGCTTACAAGCGTGTGCAATCTTCAGCAAAAATCAAATAGTTGCTAAACGATCTAAGGCGCCTTTCTGGTTCTAGCGAAGACCGGGCATGACGCAAAACGAAAATGAGGCATCGAGCAAAGCATGTTTTCGCCACATGCTCCATGCATAGCAAGATGTAGTTTGCACAGGGTATCGAGAGTTAGATACCGAATTGATGCGCCCTTCACGACTGTCGCATGGCAATTGATTGCCCCGTGTTTTGTTCAAAAGCATCTCTGGTGCTTGGTTTCTGAAATGTCTATTTTTATAGCGAGGTACAAGAGGTCCCGAAAGGTCACGCTTAGAAAGTGACCAACGGGGGAAATATCGCGAGCTTTGCGGGAAGGCCAGTTGCAAACTTGTTCAAACGCCAGTCACTAGGAATTCCACCTTAGAAGAAACATGTGGATTTCAATGGGGTGCGGTTTCTTCTTATAGTTCGCCATTCCATGCGCCCAATTCCCGGAGATCCCCGCGTCAAGTGTCGCGTAAAGGATCCATGACCATCCCCTTCCAACGTTGTAGGTCTTGTAACCATAGCAGAAGAAACAAAGAAGAAAGATCCAAGGCAAAATGTCAAATCCAAAAGCAGCGGACTGATCCAAGGAGCTTCCCGAATGAAGCCAATTCCCACAAGGCGGGGAGCCCCACCCATGGACATGAGCCCGACCCCAAATTCGAGAACAAAAAAGAAAAAAAAAACGTGGCCGGGGTTCCTCTCAGTCCTTAATCCCAAAACAGGGTTTGGGTCAGCCACACCCTTCCAGTCCTAGCTCTTGCCTCGCCTGGAACAGCCGCAGAGCCAAGGCTTCCGGGCAATCTGCGAGCAGGGGATGAAGTTTGCAAGTCACTCACCGGCGCCAAGACCGGCTCGCGAAGTGCGAGTCAAGTTGAAATGAGAGACTCAGCTTTTTTAATGGGACTCAGAGTATTCAGATATTACGTAAGTTATGATGTGTTGCCAACGGAATACGGGAGGAACTCTGTGGGTTCGGCGAAGGGGTCACAAACCACAACCTGATCAAGGCAAAATGTGGTATGACCAAATTATGGTCTTTGTTGACGGGAAACTAAGAGGAGGTTGATTAAACAATAGTGGTCTAGACATACTTAAACGTGCATAACAATCATGGATGGGCCGCGCCCTTGTTTAAACCTTGTCCCAACGTCAGTTGTTCAGAGAACCGCCTTTGGGTTTTCCTGAAAAGGCGATCTGGTCGCCAGTGGGTTTTGGCAAATTGCGCCTAAGCTCGAGGTCTTCGGGTGTACGGAGGGAAGGCACCTAGCTAGGATTGTGTTGCTCGGTTCAGACGAATAAAAAGCTGTTTTCGACCATGAATATCAGAATGGGAAGAGAACTTGCCGCACGCGTTGATGCCCAACGAAACCTCAACTAAGCAGGGTTTGCTTGTGGCTCATCCTAACTTGAACCGGGGGTTGGAAGTTGGCAGGCCGCGACACCAACAGTTTCACAAAAGCGCCTCACAGCCAGCTGTTCAGGCCCAACGGTGGCAAGGGAATCCCATGAAGTGACGATATGACATAAGTGCAAAGCACAGAGATGTCGTGTGCCATTGGAAAAGATTGCACATGGGCCCCAAGCCAAAAAGACTAAGACCCGTTTGATGGAACGAAGGAGAGATCGATGCTAACCACTTCCGCAGGCCAATTCTTGCAGAACATGAGACAGGTCCAGCGCCGCCTGGATGCTTGATCTGGCAGCACAGCACCACAAAGGGCAAGGCGAGCGCAGCTCGAGCCAACCAAATGAGGTGAAAGTCGAAGCCCACAGCCGCGGCTGCCAAACCTTCTGCCAAATGCTTTGTGCACTGGGGGTGTGGATCTGTCCTTTCTTGAGGGCACCCTTTTTGGGTTCATCTTAAAGGAAAACAGAAGGGAAACCACCATTTGGGGGGGTCCCCTATGTCAAAACAAACCCGTTGTCAGCACGCCTTCTAAATCTAGATTTTTTCACAGGAATTTCGTTCCAATCAAATTCCTCTACAAATCAGTTAACATGTAAAGTCAAATTATTCAAGCATAGCTCGACTGGAATGTCCACTCAAAACGTGAACAACCCAGACGCTCACAGCTTCCCGCTCTCTTTTTTGGCTATGTAAGTCTATGTGAAGAATACTTCAGAAAGCTTGAAACGCAAAACAAAAAAGTGCACCCCCACAGCCTCCTACTCTCCAACATTAAGGGGTACAATTGGGTAGAAGTCCGCGCACACGTACAAACCGCATTGGGTGTCTGTTGTTAAGGGGAGCCCTTTTCTTTGGCTCAGAGGGAAAACCGCAAGGAAAACCGAATCTTTTTGGGGTGCCCCCATGTGGACACCTACCAGTGCAGTTGTCCCATCTCAAAATGCGAGCCATCGTCAAGCTGAGTCTGCCTTTCAGCGCAGCAAGCTCCCCCTGTTTCCAGTTCAACCATGCGGGGGTGTCCTTTCGTCAAAGCCGTTTTCAGGTTGGTAAGCTAAGCCAAGGGGAAACCTTGCATATTCAAGAATCCAAATCCCATTGGAGACAGAACCACACGGCGGCTACAAACCGTTCAGTGAGAATTCAGGCCAAGGCACATATGAAGCAGCAGCACTGCAGGTCGTTGTCCTTTGACAAGTTCACTTGCGCTGATGTCCGGGGGCTGAGCGGCTAGGTAAGTAGCTAGTAGGAACCTGCAATTCAACCCCAACCTGAACCCCCCTCCTTTTCCAAACCTTTTAGGGGTGCTGAACGTAAAACCCCAGACAATCTAAGCGACCCAAAAACCATTGACTTGTGGTCCTCCAAGTGTGGCAAAGAAGGTTTATTTCACATTCAGCCATAGTAGTTATCCTTGCAAAACTGGCTCAAAAGAGTTAACGTTTACTCGCGGCATTCCCTTGCCATGTTCGCAATGCCTTTCCGGCAGCGTTGGAGCGGGTTATTTGACCTCCATAAGAGCCAGCTCTTTGCTTGCATATCAAACCACCGGATGGTCCAAAACAGCCTTTGGTTTTCCTCTTGCAGCAAACTGGGGCTGTCAACTGCTCGTTCTGTACTATTTTGCCAATAGACCTTCCCTCCAAACACTGAAAGGAAAACCTAAGGGAAACTGGGGACCATTTGAAGGGGAGATTCATTCAAAACCCTCTGGATGAAATAGAGATATGCTCCCAACACAACTATGGGCGTGTGTTTTCCGCCGCGAGGGATCTCATTTTGCGACATACCGATTAGGCGACTAGGATTGTCCTTTTGCCAAAATCGGTGTTTGATGAACGAAGGTTCGGTTTGATACCGTAGCACGCCAAGAGTTTTTCAGTTGCTTTCTTCCAAACAGTTGAGTAGCGCCCGCTTCACCCATTGACCGCTGGTTCGCGACATGACTACAAGGCTTGTATGGGCCGCACAATAATTGTCATCATTTCCTGTACTAAATCAAAAGAAACTTATTTGGGGTTCGCTCTGCTTGTTTATCCAATAAGCCAGTTCACAGGCAGCTCTCCGTGTGTGTGTGTGTGCCCATGTAGCCTCCAGCTCAGCTTTGCATACGCTTTCCCGGCACAATTCCTTTTGAAGGAACTGGCCGGAAAAGTGACTACACTTTCTGCACTTTGACTAAAAATCATCAAACAAACCTGCCAACCAAAATTTTCAAGTGTGTGATCCCGCTAACATGGCCGCTGACAGGGGGTCCATTCAAGAGAAACCCCCATCAAACTCCAGATCTCCTCAAAATTACCCGGATGTGGCCGCCACCTTGGTACAAGGTTGAGACAGTTATATGTGGCATTCAATCAGTTCAAAGGGAAACGGGGCCCCAACCCAGCCCCAACCCCACCCAACCCAACCCCGACCCAGCCCAACCCCAACCCAACCTCAAGCGCCCAACCCCAAACCCTGACAAACCGCAACCCCCCAAACCCCACCACCGACCCCACGCCCACCAACCCCGGCCCCAACCCAACAACAACACACCTCAGCCGATGAAAGATGATATGATTCGAGACCAACCGTACAAGAACGCCTGCAGGATGGTTGACAAACGCGGAGGTACTGGCTCCAGATGGCACATGTGTGAAAGTGGTAGCTTGATGAAGTTACATGTGTTGGCAATCTGCGTGATCGTCATCAAACGTGAGTAAACATCCGCCCACTTGCTTCACCAGGAGATGCGAACTGACTAGGAGCGCTATTCCTTCAAGCGGGGTTGTTCATCTGTTTGTGGTCTGCCCGCGTTGCCTCCTTGTGATTGGCTTATGGTTGGGCAATGATTTGCCTTGGTATGGCTGCGTGTCCTTGCTAGTGTTTGGAAGTTGCAGGTTTGCTTGTGGCTATTGTTGGTTGTGACCTTGTGTGGGAATTCTACTGGCTCATGTCTGCAGACTACAACTCCGTGACAACCAAATAAAGTGTTCGACCACTTGGTTGAGCCTCATTAAACACCTTTCACAATGGCCGCACAGAACAAAGAGTATTTGTGTGAAAGATGATGACCCTTTTGGAGTTGTTCGTTACTTGTGCTCCAGTTTGACAAATCATTTTCTTCATATGAGCGCTCCTCGTTGAAGCTGAGTTCAAGTCAAGGAGGCAAGGGGTTACGGTTGGCTTCTAAGAGGCTACGTTCACTTTCTAAGACGAGAACCTGTCAGAAACTGTCACAACAAACCTATGTATGGGGGGTTCCAGCAAGTCGGCTGGCGCCCTGTTTTTCACGCAGGGGTTCTCAGCACGTCGGCAATGTCCCGCTTTGCGGTGGAAACAGCGGAGATGAGAGTGCGGGTTTGGTTGGTGAGCCGTGCGCGTGCGGAGCGTAGCGCGGTGGAGGTGCAGTAGTGGGTGCGGGTAGCTGGGGCCACTCCACACTTAACCTTCCACTCCCCGGCGCCGGCTGCGGCCTGTATTTCTTCTTGCGGCCACACCGTTCTGGCCCCTGCTCTGAGATGGAGTGGTCGGTGGTTGGTGGTAGTGGGCTGCGTCTCACCAAACACAAATGAGTAATGAGTAGAGCTTTTGTTGGATGTATCGGCCTCCTTTACTCTGGCAGTCACATGCGAAGTTGTTTTAAAAATATTCTGCTCAAACGGTGGTCCGCCGCTCAACTGCACATGCTTTCCATCCTCTCGGATGGCGCATTTCGGATGGTTTAAATTTGCGTGGAAGTGCCCTCAGACGGGGCGAGAGGCGGACTGCCAGGACCATCCCCAAACACCCTGACTGGCACCTGCTCCCCAAGGCCTGATGACTGAGCACAACACATGAAGCATTGGTTGATTGACAATCAGCAAGGGTTGATTGACGACCTTACAACCCAACGCGCGGTTCGTCGCAGTTCAACAACTTAAAAAAACTTCGCATTTGCGATTGATACTGGCTACTAAGAACTTTAAGGTCAAATTTTCCGGCAAGGCCAGCCCGGGTACACCCCCAAGACGGGGTAGCAAGGGATAATCTGGGACTAGTGTGAACGAATCAAAACAGATTTAACGGAAAACCAATCAACTCCGGGACCAGGTGGGAAATAGAGGGAGAAGCGCAAACCAGGTCTTCACCGAGCCCGGCGCCGGATTGCAGCTAACGAAATTAGAAGGCATCGCCACCATGTTCACACCCTGGGCCCTCGGCATCGGAAGTGGCTGCATATATCGGGTGGGATTTTTCAAGCATAGCAACAGGGTTCCATGTTGATGTTTGTTGCTGCCAAGCAGAGACAGAGACTGGGGCAGGAACGCGAAAATCTGCGCCGAAATATGGGGTGCATAAACTGTTTCGTCACCCCAACGCCCCACCCCACCCCACAATCCGGGGGTTGGAGCAATCTGGCTCCTGCCAGGGCCCTGAGGGCCCCGCGCACCTGTGGCATGCAGGGCACCCCCCTCTCCGCGGACCCAGCCCCGCCGGGCAAAAGCCACGGGTCTTGCCATGCCAGGCCCGACTCCTGGGGTGAAACGCCAAAAGGCCTCCTGGACATGGACCTCATACCCCTCGGCTTCCAAGAACCTCCGCATGGCCACCCGCTTGCCGCCGGAAGGCTCCTGGAGCTGCGGTGGTACTCAAACATGCTGAAGGGTGGGAGGCGGACGTTGCCTCCCACACCTCCATGGCACAAAATCTCAGACTCTGCACCTTGCATCGAGAGCTGGGATGCTTGGGAATGTCTGGGGCTGGTGGCAAGCTCAACGCAATTTCAAAGCATATCCCAAAGTATGGCCAGGCTACATGTGAGAACGACCTAAGTTCGCTTTGCATGCAGACACCTTTCCCATGAAGGCTGGCCGAAAAAAAGCGGGAGCCATTGAATCTAACCCCGCTCTAGCAACCTTAAACGTTAGTGCCAACAGATGATAAGCTCCTTCGCAAAATCAGCACACACCTCTCACACAAGACTTGAAGGCTCCCCACCCCATCCCAACCCAACCCACCCAACCCACCCCAACCCCCACCCAACCCACCCAACCCTAAACCCCCCCCAACCCCAACCAACCCTCCCCGGAACCCCATTGCCCAACCCCAACCGCCCAGCCCCAACCCCAACCCAACCCCAACCAGCCAACCCAACCCAGCCCTTAGTCATTGAGACACGCGCGCGCAAGGCATGCGCACGACACTCGCGCGAACTTCGCACGCCTGGCGCTGCACGTAGGGCTGCAGTGCGCCCACCATGATGCCCACCACCAGGGGGATGCCAACGGAGAAGCCCAGGGAATGCTCCATGGAGCAAGCCTCAGCTTTAAAACCCAAATCGCCATGGGTTTTGAAGAACGGTTTTCAGCATGTTTCGTTGTTTGGTTGGCCTTCCTAACTGAAGGAGCCAGTTCTGCCCCTTCTAAGGAAAAACAGACAGAAAGAACGAGGGTTTGTAGTCTGGACTGAGATTGGATGTTCAAGAAAGCTACCGCTACCCCCCCCCCCCCCGCTTTAAAACGAAAGCAAGACATCGGATCCTGCTTGGGCTAAGCCAACTCCACAGGGCAGGCGTGCTTCTGAGGGTTGACCTGTCGCCAAACCTTTGAAGCCTTATGTGACCCAAAAACCTAGGGGGGGTGGGTCCTGTTCCATTCTGTAACCAATTCAATGGAAGGCTCTGGTTGGAAGGGGCGCTAGAACCCCCCTAAAGTGTGACCAAACAGAAACAGGGTTGTTTGTTTGAAGCAAACAATGCAAAAACAAAAAGAACACTTTGCCAAGTCAAGCTGAGTGCAATGAACCCAGGTTGGATTACAAAGTACTTGCCAGGTGTTCTGCGAAAAATCTGGGGGCCTTCTATGCAAAACTAGGCCGTTTGAGCCAACGACGCATCCAAGGCAGGTGCAGCCTGGTCGCCGAGACAAGCCCCACGGTCGCAAGTCTCATCATGATGTCCACCCAAACGTCTTGGCACCAAACCTGGGTGTGTCTTGTTTAACGTGGTACAATTTAGAAGTTGTTTTCAATGGAAACCTAAGAACACCCCCGTATTTTGGAGCCACAATCAAAATATGGTAGTAAAAAGGTCTACCTGAAACCCACGGAAAAGAATCTGTCCAACAGCCTCATTTGGGCTTTCTTTCTAAAGCAGGAGTGTCTTTAAACCACGTTCACAACCAACCCTGAGGTTAAGTGCACCATAGTGCACCATTTCTTTGGAAGTGTCAAAATGAGCTGATCCTTTTGGGGACAGCCCCCATTTAACGGCGGCACCAAACCTTTTATGGGGGGCCGAAGTCAAGTTTTGTCGATTCCTTCTTGGGCTCTTTTTACACTGTGCCTGAGGGCCAAAGCTCAGCTTGCAAAAGTCTTGAAGGTGGGCCTTATGGCCTTTTAAAGTGGGCTTCCTTTGGGTAGGGTGATGTTTGAATGGGAAATCGACTGACAGGCCCAACACTATCCGGCTTCCCCAAGATATGTGCCAGGGTCAAACTCCTTTGATCATGGCTCTGAAAAAGGCACTGTTGTCGAAATGTATGGGGTGCATGACCTGCCCCACTAACCCAAAGTAAAGGAGTGATTTGAGCAAGGCGCATATGCTGGAAGCCCCTGTTTTGGGCGGGGAATATCGGTGTCTCAGCCAAGTGTTGTCCTCTCCAAACAAACAATGGTTGAGAGACCAATTGGTCTGGGAGAATATGTCATTGGAACATGCTGGTGGAGCCTCATCCCCAAACCAACAGAAGACGACCAAGAATCTTGTTAGGTACTCGCATGTCCAGGTGTGACATGATGCAACTGGCCCAGCTACCTTGTACACCGGACATCGGTCCGCTGCCTCCACCCTTGCGACTGTCGACATGCAAAAAATCATCGCGATTGGTGGCATGTGACAGCCTTCAACACAAGAAACAAGGCAAGAAAACGAGATAAGACTTCCTCAAAATGGGGCTTGCACACCGCTAAAGATGGCACGGTTCCCAGTTGTTTTCCCTTGGTCAACTGCAAGGTTGGTTCGTTTTGGCCTTCGATTTTGGCTTCCTCTGGATTTCTTTCGGAACCACCTGTTGAGGCAACGGTGTCATGTTGGTTTCCCCTTTTTGCGTCACAGGGGGTCCATTGCCAAACGTGAGTTGACTCCTACTGGCCAAGCTGCGTGTCACTTGGCAACAAACACTGCATGGCCAAGTTCCCGTGTGGCGCATGCGAAAGCACAAATACATAGACAAATAGACACACAAGCACACACACACACACACACGCAGCGAAAGCACCACACCCCCTTCAGGGAAGCTCTGGGAACTTCCTTGATAAGTCCAGCAGGAAGACTAGTTGGCCTTGTTTGAGGGCAATTCGATGTTCTTTGATGATTCCCTAATTGAAAAACAGCGCCCAAAATCCGTCGAATTTTGGGGTTCCCCGAAAAGCGCCAGAAAGTGGTATTTCGGCCCGCTCCGTAACATGGTAGAACCCCTCACAAAATTGGGCGCCCCAGTGTCGCAGCGATAAGCCTGCAACTGTGTGTGTGTGCCTGTGCAGCCACGCTGCGTATTTGGCGAGATGCCCTCTTGCACCAGCCAACACTCCTGGTGCGTCTGCCAAAAACCCAAGCGGGACTGGCAAAGCTTGGTTCCCCCCATGGTAAAAGTTGTAAGCTACAGGGATTCTATCTTCAGGTCGCTGCGTTACTGGGTGCTACCAGGTGGGTATTTTGACAATCTGTGTAGAGCTTGCCACCGCCCTGTCTGTCAAAAAGAAACTCATTTCTGAATACTCAACCCGAGGAATCCGAGACGTAATCTGGCCCGGAGATGCAGACCTGGCAGATGCATGGGGGAGTGCAAACAAATCGCTCATCAATCAGCGAGTTGAATTCTTTCACTGGCACACCTGCCGATCAAAATCAACCAGGGCTGATTCATCCTGGGTCAATCAGTTGGATCTCTTTTGTTGATTGCACCCTTTTGGGTGGGTCAAAAGATCTCAACAGGACCCCCCCCCCCATTTTGGGGATGGTCCCCCTGCAAATATTACCATGTGAAAAGGTCCTTTCCCGGACTCCCCAATTCCCAAAAAGCAGTTTCCTCTAATTGCACAACGTGGCTTTTGAGCTTCCATCTTAATCTGCAGCGTAGCCCTTACAGAATATAAAGCACCCTCCCACCCTTTTCACATGGAACCTGCCGTTCAGGACCCGGTCCCTTTAAATGGAACATGGTCCAAACCAGGACCCGCCCCAAAAAACGTCGTCAGGTTCCAGGTGAATCGCCGGGGGCCAACCGGATCCAAGTCGCGGTCGGACTTCTCCGCCTCCTCCAAGATGCTGCGCTCCATCAGCATCCTGGCCACATTTGGCGGGGCCTGGTATGGGGGGCATGGGAACCCTGGTAAAAATGGAACTGGTAGAATGGGAACCATACCAAGTGCATCTGCTAAAAATGCCCATACCAACATGGGTTGCCCTGGGAAGTGGAAGCATGGACCAAAACCTGCGCAACTCCTCCGATCGTTTAATTTTGAGCCGCACCCATTGGAGAAACCAAAGTTTAGGGGCTTAAAGAAACCATACTTTTTTCAGAGGGGTGCTGCACTTTTAGGGAGGGCCCCAAATGTGCCCCAAAAGTGAGCCCTTTCTTCCCAAGGCGTAAGCCCAAGCATCTGCACCAAGCAAAGCAAATACCTTGACCAGCAGGGCCAACTGCTCCAAAAAAAAATCAAGACTTTGCACTGAGCGATAAGTATCAGTGCCTTTGGGTGCGCTTCCTTCTTGATGCTACCCCTTTGTTCGGTAGTTTCAAAGGCAAGTCAAGGGCAAATCACCCGTTTTGGGGGGTTTCCCCCCTAAGAAGAGACAACTCCATGTGAAAATTTCGACTTTGCAGGGCTCCAAAGGGTCGCGTTATTTTTGTATTCTTGTTTTTCTCACCTGGACATGCTTGGCCTTGTAATGGCGTTGCATCTCTGCGCGTTGGAACTGCTCTTGATCTCCAGCAGCATGTCACTGAAGTCGTAGGGTTCCTCGAATGACCAAAACCGGGTCGGAGCCAGTCAGGGCAAGTGGTACGGGCCATTCATGAAGGCCCCGGAAGGAACTTTCATCAAACAGGTGGGAATGGCCCACTGTGAAACCACTGGAAGGCCTTCCCAACTCATTCTTCACTCAAAGGGAGGTTTCATGGTATCGCAGAAGTGGAATAAACTCCTCACTCCCGCAACCTCACACCAAACAACTCAGCTGTACCTCTGGCAAGGGGCACGTTTACTACTTGAAAGGCAATTTGGCCATGTCAAGTCCAAATTCCAAACAAAGCGGGCGAACTGAAACAAAGTCCACCCACAGGATTCGGGATGTGTTAGGATGTCGAGAGTTGGGTTAGGGTTTTGAGGGTTGCTTTAGGTTGTGAAGGACTAGAATTCAGGGTTTAGGGTAGATTTAGAGAGAAAGGCATCGACAGCTGAGGTCTCCTGCCCCCTCCAAGCAGTTTCGGTTTGTCTGCCCCCCCCCCGCCAAATAGACCCAGTACCTTCAGCGGCAGTTTGTCCGGCGCTCATTTGCATTTGAGGCTTTGGCGTTGTCGAAGTCTTCTTCGGTTTGGCTGGAAGGCGCCGCCTAGAATATCTTGCGCCAGGCTTAGACAAAAAGTGCTACCCATCCCTGTTGGCCCGTACAAGGGCTTTCAACAAGTCTCAGCCGCAGGCTCAAAATTTACAACGTATGTGTATATATATATATATGTATGTATGCAACGCCCCCCCATGGACCCTGGTTTTACTGCCTTTTGGGGATGGCAAATCTAGAATTTCAAACTTTACATTCTCGAAATGTCCAATTGTGGGTCCCCAAAGCCTGATAATTTGGAGCCCGGAGTCCTCCTCAATGTCCCAGTATGATACCCTTTCCAAATAGGATTTTACTTCAACTAGAATTGAAAGCTTGAATATAGTTTAGTAGGGATATAGTTTTCAAAAATGTGGTTATGTTCAATTACAGCTTAAACAAGCAAATCCTTTCCAAATAGGAGCTGCATGAAACTGTAAATGTATTTTGGGGTAAACTCCAACTGATCTATAACACAAGAAATTAGATGGAAGTTGTTTTCCAAATATAGTCCAAGTGTTAAATATAATTCAATACGGACGAACACAACTCAATTTGCGTTTGATAATATCAAGTGAATAGAGACTACATTTAAAATATATTTCATATTAAATATGGCTAAACAGTTAAGGGACTCTACAAGGAAATTCAAAATACGATTTGTGTTATTTACATTCTAGCCCTTTTGTAGCATAAGAAAGGTCCGACATTGAACTTGTTGGACGGTGTTCCAAAGGGACATTTCCAGGGAAGAGAGGTTCAAAATCTAAAACTATCTCGAAACAGGGATTCTAGCTAAAACCTTGTATTTAAAGTTAATGTGGGATTCAAGATTCAAGATTCCCAGAAAACATTTTCTCGGATTCTTGAATCTTGAATCTTGAATCCCAGAATTGTCAAAAGAAGAAAACCATGTCTGAGTTGTTCTTGTATTATTGGATGCATTCAAACTCTTTCAGATTGCAGATGCTGATGTCATTGCTTTTATCACATCTGTATGCATGCATGCGTATCATATACACGTGTGATCCCCCCCCACCCCCCAATTTTGACACAAATCCAAGAAGCAACAAAGGCAAAAATCACCGGAAAATACAGGTCAAACGCACCAAACCAGGGTCCATGGAAGGGGGTACCATATATATATATATAAATCGAGAGAGAGAGAGAGGGAAAAAGTGTTCAAGTAGGAATGTTCAAAACCGCCCTGTACGGTCAACCTTCAGCGGAGTTAAAATGAACACCTGGTATAAAAGGGCTTACCCAAAATCATACGCAGAATGAAAAGGGCGTATGTCTGCACTGTGTTCCGGTTGGGACTCTTCCCTGCTTCACTCCGACTACCCAGGTCAAATCAGGAGTGAGCCTTCAAATTAGAGAACCCCTAGCAAAGGCTGCTTCAAACAGGGAAACCTCAAAAATGGTTCCTCTAAAATGGTTGCTGACTTCAAGCGCCACCGAATTTGACTGCAAGCCCTTTTCCTGGGGAACACGCCTTGGGGGACCCGCCTAGGGAGCCCAAAGACTCTGGCGGGATCCGTTCCATTCGAGCCGTTCGATTCGAGCCACAGCGACGTTCTCCGCGGCCTGCACCAACTCCAAGGTCCTGGGAGGTGCGCCCAGAAAGGGACCTTTGGGGTGTGGAGGATCCTGGCCTTCTTAGGGTCTCTTAGGGTCTTTGAGGGTTTCTTAGGGTTTCTTAGGGTTTCTTAGGGTTTCTTAGGGTTTCTTTGGGTTCTTAGGGTTGCTGAGGGCGTCTTGTTGGTTCCTGAGGGGCTCCAGCTTCCATTACCCTTTCTCAAGGAGTCTATCCTTTTCAGGCCAAGGAGAAGTCTGGCTTTCCTACCTGACAGAGAACAAAACGTGTCTGCAAAACCCGGCAATAGCCATATACATTCCAGCGAGGTCATCAAGCTGCTAGGAAAACATGAAATATCATATTATTTTACCCACTATACTCTTGGCGGTGGATTCGTGGTAAAACACATATGTGTTTTGATCCAACCAAATGGCAGTCAAGTACTGGTAGCCAAAACCGAGGCAACTGCTCAGAAAATGTGGCTTGACTTTAAAGACTCCAATTCATCGGCTGAAGCATCGGGTTTGTCCCCCATTGTGGTTGGTCTCCAAGAATAGGCGTCGTTTTTTTAGGGTACCCTTTGAAAGGGAAATCAAAAGGAAAAACATTTTTTGGAGGGTCCTTTTAAATAAGTCTCTTTTTGGGTGGTCAGGGTCCACCGTTGGGATGGCTGTGTGCGCCGTTTCTCAAGCTCCATCTTTAGCTTCCTCAAGTCTTGCAAAACACCCCCAACCTAAGCGCCCCAAAAAAACGACACAACATGGAAATGTCCCATTCCTGGAAGCCTATTCAGCCAACTGCCCTTCGTATTTCTTCAAAGGTATCCTGAAAAATGAGCTAGATTTGAAGTAAGTCTCAACGATACGGCGCTCCATGTTTCAAGTAAGAACTTTGGTTTCGAGCCACACGTCTCACGTACCCCAATGCACATACCGCACCGACCCTGCTCATGACAGGAATGCGCCCAAAGGGACGCCCTGGGGACTGAAAGAATCATGGAGAAAAGTTACCCCGCTCGACTGTGCAAGTTCAACACTACCGCTCCACGCTGGAAACGATGTCTACGCCGTGCACGCAAAGACCCGGCTGCTTCGGAATCGTGTTGGTGCGGTGGCTAGAGGCCTTCAATTACCCACCAATGTGGAGATCTCCCCCCACGGGTACTCTTTCCACGATGCTCCCATGCTAACTGACCTGCGCAGACCCGAAACTGCAACTTCCGAAAGCCCGAACCTCGCGGCCGTACCTCCCACTAAGGCCATGAGAACTGAGGCAAGTTTCTTGGAAGACAAACCATGTGTCCTTTTACAAGCGTTTGTTGTTGGCTTCCATGTTAGGAAAGATTATACATCCAAACAACAATTCCACAGAGAGAAGAATCTATCCTGCCCTGAAGCGTGGTAAACCCAAGGGTTTAGACCCCACTGAAAGAAAATACACTCGCAAAATCTCCCAAAAGCTATTCATGTCTAAGGCTGATGTCTTGCTTCCTTTCAGGACCTGACATCAACAAGTCTTGAAAGATCCAAACCACGGTGTCCCAAGGCTCATTGCTTCGGCCCAGCGGCACTCCACCGTCGTCCATCTGCATGCGCACCTTCCCGCGGAACAAGACCACCGCGTGCGCCACAGCCGCCGCCAGCAGCTTCCGAGGCTCTGAAGCGCCGCCTTCCTTAGGCATGTCCTAGAGAGCACGGCAGAGGTTTGGGGAGTTTTGGGGGAGGTCTGGAAAAGTCTGGGGAGGTCTGGAAAAGGTTTGGGGAGGTTTGGAAAGGTTTGAGGACATAACGTTGGAACGCCCAAGCAAACGTCAATTCTAAACAATGTGGCAAACCAACAGAAACCAAACCAGTTCTCCGGGCCTATGGGAAAATAACCAAATACCCATCCGCTCCCAGGAAGGTTCCAGAGTTCCCGTCCTTCGCTGCAGCCTTAGCATTCCCTTGGAACTCATGCAGGCGTACCACCAAGCGGTCGCCCTCCTGAAGGAGTGGAAACCCACCCCACCCACCCCAAGGAAAAAATGGTTTCCGTGTCCTTCTGGTTTCCAACCTTGAAAAGGACACCCTCGCAAAGCACACACCCAAATAGAAACAAATAGAAAGTGTCAAACCCCTTGTGAGACCCTTGGGGGCATGTGTTTTTTTGTTTTTTTTTCGACTAACCACAACTAGAATGGTCTTCCAAGGAGGGGTGAGTGTTGATTGAGGATGCTCACCCCATGTTCCATCCAACGAGTACTTGAACTCACTTTTGAGGGTCCCTTGCCCTCTCACGGAAGCCCCAAACTATCCCCCTCCCCCCCCCCCCCAGCCAGAAGAAATGCCAAAGAAGCCTCCCAGCAACAATCTCCCCATGACTTTATTCATCTTTACTTCGCCAGACAAAGGGAATTCTGCCGTTCACTTTCACCCTGTAAACAAGTTGGCCCAACCATGTCCTTGATGGCCCACGCCGTTGTCTTTCTACACGCCTGGAGCGTCACGTGCTGCTTCATCATGAGACCCAGCAGGCAGATTGGGATCAACACCCCATAGGCAAATGCACAAAGCCATCCCAGCGCAGTCACCTGAGCCAGTCCGACATGTTCATTGGTTTAACTTTTAGAAGTAGCAACGCGCTACTAGTACTAATAACACTGCTATCATTGCTGTTACAGTTGTTGTTGCTGTTGCTGGTGCTGTTCCTGTTCCTGTTCCTGTTGCTGCGCTGTTGCTGCTGCTGCTGCCGCCGGCGCTGCTTGTCGGCTGCCGGCTGTTGGTGGTGTTTGTATTTGTTGGTTGTTGGTTGTTGGTTGTTGGTTGTTGGTTGTTGGTTGTTGGTTGTTGGTTGTTGGTTGCTGGTTGCTGGTTGCTGGTTGCTGGCTGCTGGCTGCTGGCTGCTGGCTGCTGGTTGCTGGTTGCTGGTTGCTGGTTGTTGGTTGTTGGTTGTTGGCTGTTGGCTGTTGGCTGTTGGTTGTTGGTTGCGAGTTGTTGGTTGTTGGTTGTTGGTTGTTGGCTGGTGGTTGTTGGTTGTTGGTTGTTGGGTGTTGGTTGTTGGTTCTTGGTTGTTGGTTGTTGCAGGGTGTGGTTGTGGTTGTGGTTGTCGTTGTGGTTGCGGTTGTGGTTGTGGTTGCTGTTGCTGTTGTTGTTGCTGTTGGTGTTGTTGGTGTTGTTGGTGTTGCTGTTGTTGTTGCTGTTGGTGTTGTTGGTGTTGTTGGTGTTGTTGGTGTTGTCGGTGTTGTTGGTGTTGTTGGTGTTGTTGATGTTGTTGGTGTTGTTGGTGTTGTTGGTATTGTTGGTGTTGTTGGTGTTGTTGGTGTTGTTGGTGTTGTTGTTGTTGGTGTTGTTGTTGTTGTTGCTGCTGCTGTTGTTGTTGTTTTTGTTGCTGTTGTTGTTGTTGTTGTTGTTGTTCTTGTTGTTGTCGCTGCTGTTGTTGCTGCTGCTGCTGCTGGTGCTGGTGGCGTTGTTGTTGTTGTCGTTGTCGTTGTCGCTGTCGTTGTCCTTGTCCTTGTCCTTGTCGTTGTCGTTGTCGTTGTCGTTGTCGTAGTCGTTGTCGTTGTCGTTGTCGTTGTCTGTCGTTGTCGTTGTCGTTGGTGTTGTTGGTGTTGTTGGTGTTGTTGGTGTTGTTGATGTTGTTGGTGTTGTTGGTGCTGTTGGGTTGTTTGTGTTGTTGGTGTTGTTGGTGTTGTTGGTATTGTTGGTATTGTTGGTATTGTTGGTGTTGTTGGTGTTGTTGTTGTTGGTGTTGTTGTTGTTGCTGCTGCTGTTGTTGTTGTTTTTGTTGCTGTTGTTGTTGTTGTTGTCGCTGCTGTTGTTGCTGCTGCTGCTGCTGGTGCTGGTGTTGTTGTTGTTGCTGTTGC